GGGTTTCTGCCATATTTACTAACCCCATTACATAAAACAAGGGAGGTATTGTTGTTCCTATTAAAATCAGAATGCATACTTAGTGTTCTTAACAGAATGTTTATTTCTGCCCTTATAATTTTGAAGATAATTTATTCCTACATCGCAGCTTCATAAAGGTTAATTTCATTGTGAGATTCTTATTTTTCTATTCGTTCTATGTATAATCATTTTATGTGCAATCAATTAACAGTCAATTTCACCTATTTAGTGAAAAGAGGACTTTAAAAAATATGCTTTAAAACATTCACACTGTCCGTCCGTCCACCTTTGTGCCTATTTACAAAATGTCGTGCCATCATTAAATTCAATTGTAATCACGCAGTTAATTCTTGAATTTCTTGTGTCATCCTAAAGATATGCAATAAATTGAAATATTTTATGTAAAAGAAAGTATAAGATTTAAATAATATTAGAATTAGAAAATATAAGATTCAATAATTGACTTTTATAAAAGCAGTATTTTCACTTGTTGGAGGTAAAAGGGCTATTTTACAAGCCGTTGGCTTGATCCAACTTTATTTATTTTTTTTAGAAATTTGTTTTGATAGACAATATTAGTTTGAATAACTCTCATTTTAATTAATTTTTAGAGTATTTTTGAACATTGTTAGTTTGAGAAATTCTAAAGAAAGCAATCGATTATATGATGACCATATCACACGTTTTTATCTTTAACTTTATCTGTAGATACTATATTTTTTTTTTTTTTTTTTTTTTTGGAAATCATATATTATAAGTGTTTGGTGGGCTCATTTAGATTTATAATGTGTGCCACAGAGAAGACATGAAATGTTTATTTTTAAAAAATTTTATGAATCAAAATAAAAAAGTGAAGAAATATTAAAAGCAAATTCAATGAACTTTTTGTATCCGTTTGTTTGAAAAAGGAAAATCATTCTGCTTTTTTTTTGTGCGAAGAGATTCGTTTTTACGCGCATAAATAAAAACACGAGAAATTATGAGTAATTTTGATTTTGCATATAAAAGTCTGGCAGTACAGAGAAAATGGTCATGGGTGCCCCTTCATATTTAATGTTTTTTAAGCAATTTTGTTTTTTATTAAAACATCTTTCTTTCTAAATAAAGCTTACCATGAAGGATTAAAAGAAATAATAATTTTTATTCCTCTATGTTTACGCATTTTTATGTATTTTTTTAAAGTAAACCGGTTTATTTACTTTTATTTTTACTTTTACGTTTTCGTATATTTCAATTTATTGCTGTGCAGTTGTTTTTGATTTTAGGTATAATGTATGTGTTTCAGCATAAGTTGGAATTTATAAGTTGTAATGCAACTACAAGATATCATTTTTGTGACATTATCATCACATCAAAATATCATCATTCATCAAAAATTACTCATTTTATCACTCTCCTGCCGAAAGGAGTGGAATAATAAATTTCTCAATATATACGGTATTTAACTTATTAGAGACTAATGAATGAAACCAACAAGATGTTACTCATCTTAAATTAGAACCGTAAAGTACACTTAGGTCAGTTAGACCCTATATTAGAACCAGCCCGAGCTCCTAAGAAACTAACTAAGGAATCTAGCATTTACATTCGCTAATTCTGTAGTAAGCCGAAAAAAACAGGACGCAAGAAACCTCTGCCTGGAACTCGCCAAAGTCGGACACTTGCATAGCAGATGTGTCACCGTCTCTTCCTTCTCCTCATGACAGCAGTTCCTACAAAGATCGTTTGCGGAGCGACTCATCCTCTTGGTTTGATAGCCAATCAAACAGCGTCTAGTTAAAGGTCCCTATAACCGTGTCAATATCCTCCAGCCGGAGAGATATCAGAATCCTTGCAAGTCTAACTCTACTCAAAACTTCTTTGTCACGCATCTGAGGTTGGTATATTATGTATTTATATTATACTATTATCTTCAGTATAAGGCAGTCCCTCAGTTGTACCAATATAAATAAACTTGTGAACTAGAACAGTTTGTAGGATGCAGAAGATCATATTTCTGTTATCAAAAACGTGTAGTATTTGAAAGTAAATTACGGGTAGTAATGTCTTATTCTAATTAACTTCTATTATAATAAAAAATTTACAAATACTAACTAATTTTATTGAAAAATTGCGTTTGTTTACTAAGATTGTAAAATACTTCATTGAAATTTCTCAAATTCAAATTTCAACTGCAATTATGTTAATTTTGTGTTGTGAAAACTGGTCTAAAGCCATAACTAAAGGAGAATGTTAGTTGTGAGTAAAATATATGTTGTTTTGTGAGTCGAGATGTAATGAAAATGTGCAAATATGGTAGATAAATTGCTTTGTGCACTAGAAATGCGGTCTAAGTTTCGCTATCACAAAGCTTTGTTCACTAGAAACTTTGTTTACGTAGAATTTTTCTGATAGAAAAACTTAGACTCCAACAAAACATGTAAATTGTTATCTTTTCCTTTCCTCCTTATTTTATATTTTTAATATAGCACAATGTTCGTATGCAAGATTCCGTACAAAACCGAATTATTATTACAAATTTTGTTTGAAGGTCTCATAACCAAACCAAATGTATACATTCACAGATATTTAGTTTTATATTTTTATAAGGTTGTGAATGGTAGCAAACATTATTTTCCACGAAGGAAACGGAAATAAAACCGAATCTTTTATTTTACTCAAAGGAATACACAATAAGAAATAAAGGTTTAGAAGAAAAATAAAGTAAAACAAGAAAATAATTATTATTCAGTTTATTTCTTTTTTGTGGAACATCAAAGGGAATGCTCCTTTTTTAACATTGAAACTCTCTTTTATTTTCGTTTTACAAATTTCTCAATTACTATTAAATATGTTTTTTCTTTTGCTTCGTTTTACCTCTCTGTTTTATTTATTTTATTTTATTTCATTGTTCTCCTTAAATACAACCGATTCTGTTACAATATTAGAAAAGTGAGGAGAATGAGACTGTTGATTAGAATTTAATGAAAAATTCATATGCGTTAATATTATTTAAATATGAATTGTATATGTATATGTTTATTTATTTTACAGTATCACAATTGTATATTTACAATATACAGTTGCGATAGTTCGGAAACCATGAGCAGTTGTGAATTCTCGCATTTACAAATTTTTGATGAGTACAAAAAAAAATGTTAAAAAATTTGTTTTTAATTGTTTTCAAGTTATTATAAGAAAATTACACACATGTGCTAGGACTGAAATTGTTTCACAAAAATCGCATTACATAGTGAGGCCATTGGTCCTTTCCTAAATTATAATTAATGAACATTATGTTGTTAGATAATGAAACGCAAATTAATTCTAATTTAGAAGATTACAATTTCGGCCATGCTTCTCTATAAATAAAACAATAATCTCAAATTTTGGACAAAAAAAAAACTCCATATGCAATGTGAAAGAAGGGTCGACAAATTAACTGTAAAATAGATTTTTTTTTTTAATTAATCAATAAATAATATTTTTTATACATTTTTTGGTACACACTTACTTGATTAAAGTACTTTTCCTCAAAAAATACAAATTTTTTGTCCGGATAATTGTGATCAAAATTTGGTTTGCTTTCATGATTATAGAAACACCAATTATAAAAGAGCCATTATCCGAATTGTGACCTATTTCGGAGAACTTTTGAAATGCTCCCAACTATGAAGTCTTACGAAATTCAGATAATAAATTGCCTGAAAAGCTAACATTGACTGCATCGACAAGAAATTCGTCGTTAACAAATTGTCACTAACATTTTTCTTATCGATGCTTTAGCTAAATACTATATACACAAAAACTTTTGTGTTTGTCCATCTCTTTATTAAATAGATAGCAATGTTATACAAAATTTTCACTCCTTATACAATTCTGAAAGAATATTTTAGTGAGAATCAAGTAAGAGGCGAAATATTTAGAGAGAAACAACAAATTTCCTTTTGTTTTTTCAATGAACATTTTAAATTTAACTTGAAAATTGATTCAGAATATTGCGTTTAATGTTTTGGAATACTCATATACTGAACCATGAAATTTAGACTATGAAAAAAATAAACATGTGTGTGTATGTATGAACACTATACGCATATAATAATAATGTGTACACACAGAACAAAAACGTAGGTTCATATTATATTCAAAAGTAAATATTAATTTAAAAAAAAAATGAAAAGGAAAAAGAAAAATTAATGTGAAATCTTTTATTAAAATGTAATGAGGCTGAAGAAAATTGAATTTTAATAAATAAATATCAGTGTTTAATAAGGAACAGCAGTGGGAGTATATCAGTTTTTTTGTTTTTCAAAGTAATTTGTACTAAACTTTATTAGTATTGCGTTGTAAATTAAAAAAAAAAAAATTGTTTTTTTATCTGTATGACATATGTATATCCAATTGTGTGTAATAATATGCTTTCATTCACAATATGCTCCTCAACTTAAATCCGAAAAGAAAAAATGTTATAACATGTGAGGCATATGTATCTAAAGTAGATTATACTTTGCTTTCATCTCAATTGCTTTAAAGCATTTTAAGAGAAGTGTTAAAAAAATGCGAAACATACTGGGTACGTTTGTGATTGTCTTATAACCTAAGGATTTTTAAAATAGAAATATGATCCTGTAAATAGGCAATTTTATATTCAAATCGGTGTTGTTTTAAGTTCAAATTGTTAACAATTTGTTAACAATTTTGGAAACTACTTCTTTATTTGTTAATTAGAGATTAATTTATAAAATCTCAGCGTATTTTCAATTTGTTAATTTTTTTATTAAAGGTTTTAAAGTAGGTTGAGGTTGTTACTGCAAACTTTTAGATTCTCGTATTATTTGCAATATTATGTAATAAGTTCGTACATTGCATTGTTTTGCGTGAAATTACTCTTAATTTAGAAAAGTAATCCGCTAATAAAATTAGTCCAAATTAAAAATAATTTCGAAATTACAATTAATCAAATTTCATTTAAGAAACAAAATATTTTTCAATAATTACAGGTACCATGAGAAAAAGGAACAAGAGCGTCAGGAATATACCATACATGTCTGAAAATTAATAAACTCGGAAATTAAAGGAAAGGAGATGAAATGAAATTAATTTTAGAAATGATTGTAAAAAAATAAACAAAAAAAATAATTAAAAATAGCAAAACAAGAATTTTGATTAAGTTAATCTAAAACAAAACAATAAATTAAAAATTTCAACAACTGAAAATCTTCAAATACAATTTAACAAGAAAAGCCAAACAAAATCTAAAATATAAAATTTATGTAAAGCACAAGGGAATGACTTCATAAAATAAAAAAAAAATTCTAATAATTATACGTAGAACTTTTTGTAAAAGAAACGCATTTAATTTTTTTTAAGTAAAAATACTAAAAAATACAAAAAAAAAAGTAAAAATTTTTGATAAAATTTGTGATATTTTTCTTCTCTTATAAGGCTAAAACAAAAACGTGTAAAAGAATTTTCAAAATTTAATCTATATTCTCATTTCATCTAACTAATAATTATAAAATTTTATAGAGAAAACGTTTTCAAGCGAGATCAGTAAATTTTCAAATCAAAAATGGTTTTATGAAATCCAAATAAAATAAGTTTCCAATAAAAATTGTTAATGTTGCCAAATAAATTAAAAATTTAAAGAAATTTTTTAAAATTTATGCTTATTTTGTGATTAAGTGCTGCGAATTTTTCTAATAAATGACAAAGAAATAAAAAAAATGGACACATACCTTGTTTGTATGTCTTTAATTCTAGTAAATTACCAGTGCGAAATTTTTAAATAATTTTTGTAATTATATGTGAAAAGTGACTGCATTGTTTAGACAAAATTTTAAAATTGCTTTGAGCATTTGTTACATAACTTTATTTTAAAATCTTTTATTAATAAGAATTGAAAATTGTTAATGATTTTTCAAAATTATTGTAATAATATTACAAAATCATATTTTTAAAAAAATTGCAGGGATTGTGAAATAAACAAGAGGAAATTTTTATTTATGTACAAGAAAAAATTCATTAATTCATTAATTAAAAATTAGAATGAAAAATAATAATTATTGAATTTTGGGTATTTCTCGTACAAAGTCAAATTCTACTTTTGTTTTGATAGATAGATTCTCAAGTTAAACAGCTCAAATAATTTTCCATTCTATACTGCTGAGAAATATAGTTCTACCATTAGAACTAAAATTTCTCAGCAGTATGAAAAAACTTTAGCTAAATTTTTCTTTACGCAGTCTACAAATTCTGAAACTTCTAAATAATCAGTCATTCGAAAATAACGGAAATGGTATTGTTTATATGAAGTTGTATACCAATACTGTTCTTCCAATTCACTGCAAAATAAGGAAATTTCAACAATATTTGAAAACTCAAAGAAAACTTACTTTAATAACCCTGCAATATCTGGATTTGTCATTTTGAAATTTAAAATTCTTTTTGAATTTTAATTTAAAAAAAAAATTCATGAAGCAGCGACAAAATTTATACTAGAAGTCTACGCTACATATCTAACATTTCTTTATTGCAGATTGAATTTTCGAACGCACTTTATTGCAGCCAGTAATTTCCGAATGATCTTATATTTTCAGTGTGTGTAGCGTGAATTTTCGAACGTACTACAAACTAGAACTATTCTACTCGTAGAATTGAATAAACGAAAACCCCCATAGCATTGCAGTTTTTTAAATTCATTTTTTGAAATATCCAACTTCTTTTCTCATACTCGTATATTCAAAACTTTTGAAATATTTACATTCTGACTATCATCTTCATCCATATATAGAATTATAATTTATCAAGGATTTATCGAATTGTAAAAGAAATCAAATCAAATTTACATTCCAAATGCCGAATATAATAAAAGTTTATTTCATTCGACTTTCTAATGATAGAAGATTACAAAATTTTTATATCTAACATATCAAGTAATTTTTTGTATTTGTTTTTTAAATTTAATTTAAAAAATGCAAAATAATTGTTGAAATTCAATAAAAAAATTACAGAAATTCAATAAAAAAATTACTGAAATTCAATCGAACTGTTCACGTTTTTCTTTTATGTTTTTAATATTAAATATTTGTTTTTTTAAGAAATATCTAATGTAAATTATGAAACATTTTTTATAAAATAATACTTTTTCTTAAAATTAAAATAAAAACCAAAAAAAAAAAAAAAACATTACAAACTAAATTGTAAAACTACAGCCAAAACTAAAAAAATAGAAATAAAAAAAAAATTAAACCTAAAATAATTTTATGTGCAAAAAAAAAACCAAACAAACAAATTAAATAAAAAATATTCAATAGAAATAATTTTCAACAATATAAAAAATAAAATTCAAAATACAACAATACACACTGCCTGTAATTTTAACAAAAAAAAACAAAAACAAAAAATAATGTACGAAAATAATAAAATTAATAAAAAATTACAAAAATATCTTGATGGATAATTTTAATAGAATAAAAAACCAAAAAAAAAAAACAAAAAAACAAAAAAAAAATTAAAAAAATTGTTAAATATTAAAATTAAATTAATTAATTAAATAAAACCTTAAAAGAAAAATTAAAATAAAAATTCATTTAAATATTTTATTTTATAGGTGAAATATTAAATAAATTAAATAATTAAATACGATTAAAATTGTATAACTTTAGCTATTAAAAATTACAAAGTAACAAAAAAAATAAAAAGAACAAAAAATACAAAGAATTTAATTTGTTAACAAATTATTTATTAATATTAATTAAATGTTTTAAACATTAATTTTTTATTTTTTGAAATTTAAAATTTCTTTTTTTATTACGAAAAATCAAAACGAAAAAAAAAAAATTATATAAAAATAATTGAAACATAATTAAAATGCAAAACAATATAAATTAACAAATTGATAGGTTAAAAACTTATATAATATGCCAGTTATTAAATAGATGGAAAACAATAAAAATTACGAAATAAAAATTTTACAAAGTATAAATTGAAATTATTTTTTTTTTCATTCTTATACAATGGGATTATTTTTTAAATCCCATTGTCCTTTTTGCTTTTTCCTTTTTCAATATTCTATTTGAATATTAAAATTTTGTATATAAATGAATTATTATTATATTCATATATATATGCACTTAATTAAATTACATAACTGTGTTATTTAATTTAATAAAATAAACACGCGTAGTTATTACGAAATCAGTTATTGTGATTAACTTTCGTGGAAAAAAAAGTAACCACAATTATATTAGTAATGTATGTAAAAAAAAAAACAATTTACTCTCCAATTTTATGTAATTTTGTGAAATTCACTGAAGTTTTTAGTGAGTTTTTAGATTTTGAGTGAGGAACCATAAAATTCTTCTGAGGCGAATGAGATTTATCACGACATCTTAAAGAAAAAATCAATTTTGTTACACATATGTATTTATAAATTGAAATCTGTAACGTGTACAAAAAGAAAATATACATGAGTTTAGAAATTTGTTGCAAACATTGCAACTCGAAGCTGTGTACATAATATATAATATAAGTAGTGGTTAGCTATGTATATATAAGAGTGTTGGTTTTAAAAATTGTTATTTTTCTGAATTTTCGAGTTTTTTTCGAACTTTTTTGTTTTAAATCAGGGACTAAGTAAAGATTTTTATTTTAATCTAAATTTTTTCTTAAAATAAAGTTAAGTCAAACCAACGGTTTGTAATGTATCACTTTTCCCTTCAACAGTGAAAATACTGATTTTAAAACAACATTTGTACCTAGACCTAATGCATTATTAAAGCTACTTACTTTTACTATAAAACTAAAAAAAAAAGATAGGTTAATTGGGTGAGTTAAGGAAAATAATAATGTTTTTTAATGGCATGAAATTTACCGTTAGTTTTCTGTGTTTATTGAAATTTGAAAGAGCTTGCATTTTCGAAAATATAAGGTGCGCCAAAAATTCAAATATTACAAATTTTCGAGAGCCGATAACTTGTGAGGGAGTGGAGCTGATAAAAGATTTTCTTGTAACGAAATGAACCATTTTGTTAGTGTTTAAAATCTGTTAAAATTTCAGACTTTTACAAAATGGGGTCTAGAAGAAAAACGATATCAAAAATTTGGAAAATATGGATTTTAGATATTTTTTTTCCAGCCTAGATACTTAAACCCTACAAATATTTCTTCTCATCATAAATTAAAATATGTATATTAAAACTGTCAATACGATCGATTTCCAACTAAGAAGGGGGCGGGGGGTTTTACGCAAAATTTAAAATCCCACCGAAACCTTTCAAACGAAACCTCACTTGACCGTTTTCGTCTTCTTAGGACATGTTTTGTGGCCTGCACCTTAGTAGGACGGTCCTCCAACAAAATTTGGAAATCAGATTACAAATTATTTGGAATTTTAGGAAATCAGATTACAAATTATTGCTCTCTTTCGTTTTTATTTTTTTATTTTAATTATCATTTACCATCTGTCACCTAAAAAATTTCAAATGTCACCTGTCAAGTGTCATCTGTCAAATGTCATCTATCACATATCATCTGTTACCCGTCAGTTATCCAATGTCTTCCGTCAGCTGTCATCTGTCAACTGTCATCTGTCAAATGTCAACTGTCACCTGTCAGCTGTAAATGTCAACTGTCAGTTGTCAAATTCTATCTGTCATCTGTCACATTTCCTCTGTTACCTGTACAGTTGTCAAATGTCCCCTGTCAAATGTCATCTGTAACATATCAGCTGTCAAATGTCATCTGCCCCCTGTCAACTATCATCTGTCACATGTCATCTGTCAAATGTCAGCTGTCAAATCTAATCTGTCACATGTCAAATGTTATCTGTCAAATGTCATCCATCATCTGTCAACTGTCTCTTGTCAGCTGTCAAATGTCATTTGTCAAACTCCAGCTATCACCGTCAAATGTCACCTGTCACCTGTCAAATGTCATCTGTCAAATCTCATTTGTCACCTATCAAATGTAATCTGTCGAATACCAACTGTCAAATTTAATCTGTCATTTGCAAAATGTTACCTGTCAGCTGTCAAATGTCATCTGTCACCTGTCAAATGTTAACTGACATCCGTCACTTGTCCTCTGTCAAACGTCAACTGCCAAATGTCATCTGTCACCTGCCAACTGTCATCTGTCACCTGTCAAATGCCAGCTGTCAAATGTCAAATCAGATCTGTCACCTGTCAAATGTCATCTGTCACCTGTCAAATGTCACCTGTCAGCTGTCAAATGTCATCTGTCACCTGTCAAATATCAACTGACATCTGTTACTTGTCCTCTGTCAAACATCAACTGTCAAATATCACCTGTCAACTATCATCTGTAACCTGTCAAATGTCAGCTATCAAATGTCAAATCAGATCTGTCACCTGTTAAATGTCATCTGTCACCTGTTGAATCTCATCTGTCACTTGTCAAATGTCACCTGTC